GAGGAACAGCCACCGCACTGCACACACACTGAGGCTGTCCCCTTGCCCTGCCTCAGCACCCTCTGCTACGTAGCGGGGATCTTTCACACACACACCTTCAAGAACATAGAATCAGCCCCTTCTGACTGTACAAAAGGTAATTCTACACAATCCCAAAACTCACAGCATTTCACTTCCTCTCACCAGTTACCTGGTTAGTGAATGCAGGTGCTTGAACTGAAACCAAGAATGAGAGCACGCATCAGGACAAACACATTAGTAAAGCAAAACATCTTGGTTGAAATTAGTGACATATTACTACTGGGGTACTCATCTTTCTGCCCAGAAAGTATCAAAGAATAATTGTTTTGATATAATACAAAGTTGCTCCAAAAGTAATGCTTGCTACTTAAGTCTGACGTCACTTTGTCACACTGCCCCTCCGCTGCCACCCAATGCAAGGCAAAAAAACAGAACATTAGCAGGAAGGTTTCACCTCTGCTGTCATAACACCAACATCTGCCTCTGATGTTGTGGGCCAGCATAATAACGTAGCAGACATTGTTTTTGGAGCTGACATTGTATTACTGATGATGATAACTGTGCAGGTATTCAGAAAACATTCCTAACTTTCCTGTGCTGGGAGAAGCACATGGTAAGCAATGGATGCATCAAGCTAACAAAGACTCTGAAAATATACTCAGTTTGTGCAAAAGGACAGAAAAAGATAATTCAGGAGAAGATTTACCAGGGACTGCATAGGATTGCTCAAACAAGGACCCATCTGTAAAAGAACACTGGACCAGCAGCTCAACACAAGTTCAGAAACAGAGTAGCAACTTGTACTTGGGCATGGCAATACGCCTAAAACCTGAGGTCATTTCTGAGGTTTCCTCTTGACCTAGGCAGGCAAAGCTGAAGTGAGCAGCAGGGTTCACCATTTTCATGTTTCATGTCTATGGTCCCATTCCAGGGCACACGGCATCCCAGGGCAGCATGAGGGAGCGGCCTCTGCTTTGAGAAGGCTCAGGGAGCATGTGAGTGTTTACTACAGCTGCCAACTGGGAGCATGGGAGCACTGAGCATGACTCCCAGATACTCAATGCTGGAAAGACCAGAGGCACTGGGCTCACAGTGGAGCATGGACAACTCCCAGTTAGGCACAAGGGTGCTCAGACATGGAATCAGCACCCAGAGAGGCTGCAGGTTTCCATCCTCTCCAGGTTATCCCAACTGAACTGAGCTAAGATGAATCAAGCCCACAGTACCAACAACAAATCAAACCTCTAAAGGCACCACCTGCATCAGAGGCCTTCACAAAAAGGATGAGCCAAAAGTAGAAAAACCTAAGAACTGGCTGAGAGGGGACACCTGTCCCTGTTAGTCTACTGGACAGCTTCGTAGTTGCTGCTGCCTCTGCCATCTAGACAAAGTGTGAAAGCAGAACACTGCAAATATCCAGGAGAAAAGGGCACACTGGGATCACCTGGTTCCATGTTAGCACAGGCAACAGCAAGCCATCACCTGACACGTGATTACAACTGACTTTGGTCTTACTTCAACAATGGTCTGCACATACTTTTGGCACACTGTTGACAATTTAATCACTGCACAGGAAACAAACACCTCCCCATCTGCACCTGATGGTAGGGGCTGAACACTTTCACGCTGCTTGAGGAACTTTTGCCAAGACAAACACATAACTAAAGCAAAACATTTCCATTTAAGTTAATGACATTTTACTTAGGCAAAAAGCTGAGTACTGACAACAAACTACTGAAGAATAATTATTTTGATGTAATACATAGGTCACTCCAAAAATAACGCCTTCTATTTTTGCCAGATGTTAAAACCTGAGGTCATTTCTGAGGCTCAATAATATAATAAAACATAATGAGCAACATAATAAAATAGAACTACTTTCGAAACAGACCTCATATATCGAAATCCATCTCCAACATTTATAACTGTATCCTCTTGCTTTCCTGAAATGATTCATGCTATCTCATTTACTTTCAGCAAAACAACAAAAGCACTCTTGAAAATGGTATCAATATGCTTTTGCATCTTGTATCTTTTCACGCTAGAAGGTGCTAAAGACTATATTTGAGTTATTTAGAAATTCCTCAAAGTTTCGTTATCAGCTGAACTGTGAGCTCACCAAGCAGTATACAACCTGAAGACTTCAAAACCAATTTTGTTCATTAGTAACCAATCTGTCACTAGCAGCCACTCCTGCACAAACAGCAAGAAGAGAAATCACTTTACAAGAGTTTTATGACTCACAAGATTCAAGGCCTTACTAAGATCAATAAATAGCCCAATTAATTCAGGTTTTGTTGTTTTTTTTAATTCAAAAAAAAAAAAAGCATTCCCCTGCCACAGGAACAAAAATATGTCATTATGAACTTCAGTACGGTCAGCAACAGCATTGTGTGCTGAATAGGAGCCTGACTGGAGCGTGTTCAAAGCAAACCAGGTTGATATAATCTTTCTGTGCCAGGTGTGCGACTTATTTTTTTTTCCCCTAGCACATGAACAATGGGTAACTGACACAATGAAATTGCTATCTTCAAAGAGTTCAATATATTTCCAGCTCTTTCTGGGTCAAAGGGCTGCATTTCCACAAGCTGTCAGAGCTACAAGTTGTGAAGCCAGAATTCTATTCGAGTCTCCTGGAAACTTCTAAAGGGACTTCTTATTAATGGAGTAATGCTTCATTCAGTTAGATGGCATATTCACAAAGCTTCATTAAGCAAGCTTTTTTTCCCCTGCAACTGCTATGGTCTGCTTGTGTATACAACATTTTAACACATTTATCTGTCTTAAGAACGCTAATTGTGCAGATGCATCCAGAGATCTCTGTGCATACCATGGAGCCCAGCATCAACCTCCTCCTTGCTGAGGATCACGTCACTGTGCTACCTAGGGCTGGGAAACATGGAAAGAAGAGGAAAGCAATTTGGTCTAGTTTAGAAGATCTGCCAGGCCTAGATCCAAATGCAAAATTTCATGTTTCCTAGCCAACACCTCTCCTCCTAGACCAGGGGATAGCCAACACCTACTATAGCCTGCATTTTGCAGTTTAAGGGATAAAAATAATAAATAAATTTAAAAAAAAAAACAGCAACAAGCTTTTCTTTTTTCTCCTACAATATGTACTTCACACATTGCCCAATTTATCTGGTGTGAGATTGCCAGTGTAGATCTATCAGGTTATAAGAGATGAAGATGACAGTTCCAAAAATCAAACCTGTACCATCCAGCCTGCTCAAGATAAAACCACAAGGAGGTTTCTGAATAGGATTTCCTGAAGAGAAAGAACTACACACATAGTAGACAAACACACACTCAGTAGAATGTATTAGACAAAACAGAAATTCTGCAGATGCAAAGACAGATGTTTTGCATATATGGAAATCCAACACAGCTATCCACACCCTCAGATTTGATAATCCCCTGTTCCCATTTGGAATAAGACAGAATACCCAGAGATATGATAACCTCGAGTAAGGTTATAGGTAAGACTATTTCTCCCTCATAGTCAGTCCCAGTTTTACAGAATGAAGTTGCTCTGAAAAATTAAACCCACTGCTGAACTCTACAGACAGGAGAGGATGAAATGCTGTAATAGGATGGGAAACACCACAGTAATAGCAGGGTGGCAAAGCCTTCAGCTACAGCAAATGAGAACAAGCCCAAATGCAGAGGACACGGAAATGAAGGAAAAGAGCTGCTTACCTTTGGAAGGCCTCAGATCAGCAGGGATCTCCACTGCCAATCCTTAAATGAGGTCTGGGAAGGGATGGATCCTTGCTTCACCCCTCCTGTTACTCAGGTACACTGCAAGCACCTGAGCCCCCCCTGGGTTGGCCCTGCCTTCCCACCAGGTGCTCCATCACTGGTTCAGGCCATGACGCAGCACTTCGATTACAGAGGAATACCTTACTAACACTAATAAGTTTCAACATTTTCCTTCCTGTTTATAACCATCTGGAAAGATGTTTCTCATACCACCTTTGATGTTAAAACAGCAAAAATACTGCATGAGAAGCACATACTTGAAATTCCTACTTACAGTTTAGCAGTACTAGTAGTAGTGCAGTAATGCTCAATATAATCAGGTGACAATTAAAAACTATATCTGGTCTTAAGTGACTTTGGGACTATCCAACTTGTTCCACAAAACAGAATCAGAAAATTGCTGCAAAGAAGGCTCAAAAGCCAAGACCTGGTTAACTTGCACCCAAATGGCACATATAAAATCATGTTCCATGATAATTAGTCTGTTCCCATTTCACCAAGCTTTGTCTCTGCTACTGTTTTCTCACAGCTGTGAAACTTCTCCTTCCTCCAAATGAAAGCTGAGTCTTTAAGAACACAACAATAATGAAACATCGAAGGCAGCTGTGGAAAGCAAAATTTTCCTTTTTCCAGTTGTCACAGGAATGAAGACAAGACACAGATTTTCACATAAAAAAAAACCAACCACCTGTCTTACCTCATTATTGAAAATATGCACTCCATTGCTTCATCCACTTGCTTTACAATGTGAAATTGAACCAGTTGGTGATTTGAATGATTACTGAAATATCTTCAAGAAAAATGCCATTTCAGGCCATGATGTGTTTTTTTACCTGGCTCCTTCCACTCCTGACCAGAACACATTCTCATTCTAATCCATTTGGAGGATGACACGTTTGTATTGGTGTCAACAGAGAAATCTCTACTTCCACAGAAAAATAATGCCTATCTGCTTTGCTGACAAACACAACATGCTGTAGATATTTGACAGTTCTGCAGAGGCCCAATCTGTGTAAGAATAGATTTTATGGGCCACAGAACAAAGATATCAATCTGTTGGTCATCTGCTGAGAGATCATTTCCAGTCTTCCTCAAGACATTCAAGAGATAAACATTCAGATATTGATTTCTAAAGATCACCAATGAAAATACTCATCAAATCAGCACATGTTACACAGACTCACTTGGGGGAAAAGTAACAAGAATGCACTCCTTTAGATCTTGGGGTATGTGTTCGTTTTCACATCCTCCTTTCAGTAGGCATCTGCAGCAATTCTTGCAAACATAACATCAAGACAAAGAAGCAAAGCCCAACACCACTCAGGTTAACATAAACTGCCTTCATACTACAAAAGGTACCCAGGAGATCTTGGGGCTATGAAAGCTATGCCATGGTACACTACTACTACCACAAAACAAAACACACTCTTCAGTTCAACAGCTTGTATTTGAAAAGCAGATCTTTCACAGGAATACAACAGTCATTACCAAAAGTTAAGCTACCTTCACACAATTCCATACATTCAAACATTACATTAAAAAAAGAAAAAAAAGAAGTGACGATGGGGAAGGAGATAATTCTTCCTCCCTAGAATAAAGTGAAACCAGCAGCAAGAGTTTGCTATGCAGAAAGCTACAATGAATTTCATTGTCTTTCTAGATCGTTTACTGCAAACAAGCTGAATATATAGGACAATACCACTCAAAGGATTTTAAGAAGTGTTTAAATGGAACTCAGGTATGTAGATTGAGTTTATCAAGGTTTTCAAGAGAAAAATGCATTTCATTTCAAACCATCCCTTTTAAAGAAGAAATTGAAAGAGAATACTACCCTAAAAATCAAATCACAATGCTTACTGCTTATGAAAGAAGAACATTAAGGTAATACCCACTCATGCAACAACTTACAAGTGTGTGCATGAACATACCCACCCAGACTGCTGTACAGGCACAGGGGACTGCAGGAAAAGTCCAGAAGTGACAGCATACCTTCCCTGACTACACAGGCCAGAGATCCCACTACATCATGAGCAGAGATTTGTCTGCTTTCCAAGACAGCTAGGAGCTATGTCTGTGCTTGATACAGCATGCAACACAGACTAATAAACCCTAATGAGTCAAAGGCATTGGCTCACCTCTCAGGCAATGATGAACTTGTAGCTTTTGCTTGTTCATCCAAAGAACAGAAGCTTGTTTCCAAGTCAGGAGTGAGCAAGATCAAAATCAAGATATGACAAAATTTGTAATTCTAACATTTAACAGAAACACTGGTCTTTTGACAGAATGTAGAGGCAGGGCTGGATATCTGCCCGTTTTGCAGCAATTCACCTGGCTCCTCAGCAGCAGGGAGCTGGAAGTGAGGATGTGCTGGTTTCCTGCCACCTGAGCTCCAGCCTGCCTCTCCCAGGACAGAGTCTAGCTCGCCAAAGAGCACCAGGAGCCCACAAAGCTGCCACAGGAAGATGATCTAATCCTATTAGTTTCATTAGCATCCCCACTGATCAACAGCAGCAGAACTGTCAGACCCCTTCAGCTTCACGCAGCAGCCGGCAGGAATTCTGGAGAGCACATGGAGTTTCTTCAGCTAAACACTGTATGATTTTAACTGTACAGTCAGAGGAAGAGGGGGCATTTTTTAGCCCAGTTTAGAGTTTTCCTTGTTTGGGGATGAAAACTTGTTAAAACCAAATATATATACTCACTGCAGCTCTACCAGAACCACCTGAATCACTCCTATTTGGATGCTTCAATTTCTGGCATTTCCAACAAGGAATGGGGAACTAGCCATGAGCTATACATTCAGATCTACATTCAGGGTTTTACCAACAAACATTTCAGCCAAAGGAAAAGCCTTCCTGTGGTGAAAAGGCTTCTCACTGAAACAGTGGTTAGATCCCATCCGGTGAAGTTCAAGAACTGTTTCTCAAACAGACCAGCCCCCTGCACTGGATGAGCCACAGGGACCCAGCTGAAACTCATTACAAAGCTACCTGCACACTGCACAAGGTACTCACTCTGAGACAATAGGACACTCTCTTGTATGCAGCATTTAACATTATACAGTCCTGCTCCGGACTGATTTTGCAGTAAAAGCAGATGGTATAGACAAGAAGACCTCAAAATATAGTAATTTAATAATCCAAGTATTTTAGAGAAGAAAGCTTCCTTCATTTTTATAAACTTCAGGCCTCTGCAGGACTGAAAGAGTATATTATGGAACCAATGTAAGAGATAAGAATTAAAATCTGATTTTACCATAGCTATGCCTGTGTCTGCATGTGTGAATAGCATCTTCTACATCTTTCATGAAACACAGGTTTATCTGAGTGTGTTCTAAAGTACTGAATGAGCACTGCATGTTGGCCTGCTCACTTGCACATTGAGCCTCAGCCCAACAGAAGCTCTTGGGAAAAGAATACAACAAAAAACTACTTGAAGACTATCCATCTCACAGCCAAAACAGACATGACCAAGGGGCAGTTACTTCCAATGGTGCCAAATAAAAGCTCAGATGTCAGGTCAAAGGCCTGTGTTGATTAAGATACCAACATTTGTTCCACCCAGTTGGAACAAAATGCTACCTCAACAGAGTTATTCATACACTGAAAGCTAATCCATCTCACCTGCTGTGACTCCTCTAGAGCGTAACCTCAAATGACTCCTGTCTCTAGCTCTCACTCTGCCCATTTCCTGACAGATCCAACAAACCAACAGGGATGATTCTCCCAATACCTCCAAACTGCCCGCTATCAAAACTGAAGTGTGTAGCAAAATACATGGCTTGACGTTTCCTACAGCAGTCAGGTTTCAACTATGGGAAGAGTTAGACTGAGATAACTGAGCATTAAAAACATCACATGCAAGTTATCTACAGAGAGATCCATGAGTTTTCAGAATCATGCATTAGGAGCTGCACATCTTGCCTCTGCAGGACTTGGTGGTGATGCCACCAAGCTGCTGCCAGCAAGGATCCAAGCTACATCCGAGCCCATTTCAGAGCCCTTCACCACAATGGCCTGGCAAAGGCCAGCCATTACCACTGCCCACTGTGGTGACAATGTGATTTCCATTTATTTTGACAACAAGGACTCTCTGCTAGCACTGTCAACAAATACAGCACAGTCTTTATTTTTTCATGCATGAACTAAAAAAAAAAACATAAACATTTCTGTGACAGCAGGCCTGCAAAGTAGACTTAGCTACTGCAAAGAAGCTAAGTAGTTCTACCCTTCCACGTTCTTTCCTCTACAAAAAATACATATTTTGATAAAGTATCTCTGCAAGGGAGAAAACACAGTTTCCAGAAATATTATTCTTGTGTTTTCAAAAGAATCATTACAAATGAACAAAAAAGAACTTTAGCACCTCTAGTTATAATCCTCCATACCAACCTTTATTAAAAGATGCTAGGGCTTCTTTCCCTCCACCATACACAACATCCCAAGGACCTCACAGCCCTCCAACGCGCCCCCTGCAGTCCCAGTGCGGCCGCCCAGAGGACGCCAGGCCCTCTCCTCCACACCCCTCTGCTTTGGCATCAGGGCAGAAGAGATGCCACCTTCTCACGCTCCAGGGCCAGAGCTGAGGGATGGCAAAGGACAGCCGACACGACCACACAAACTCCACTGCTTTTAATGACTGCCTCTCCCTCGGCTGCCTGTGGGGCATCACCATGCTTTGCTCCTCCTCCACCCCAGGCAGCTGCAGGGGGCCTGAGAAGCCTCTGCCCCACCGACCCTCTTGCTACATTCGTGCCACTGCCTCCCAGAAATGGCCGCAGGCCCCAACTGCCAGCCGCCATGTTTGGGCCAGCACCTGCTGCTCAGAATCCTGTTGCCATGGGCACCCAACTGCCCTCAACTGCAGTCCCTGAGCTGACACAGCAGGAGACTGCGGCACTTTGCAGTATCGCAAAGAGCTACTTTGTATTTCTTTTGATTTCTGAGGACGGGATGGAGCAGCCACCCTTAAAGAAGAGGCGGCTGCTGGAAGAGGCTGATGACATCGAGCCCATGGAGGTGGACCCGCCTGGCAGCCAAGAAGAGCCCATGGAGGTGGATCCACCTGTGGCAGATGAGCTGATGGAAGTGGATCCACCTCCATCGGGGCACACTGGCCATCTCGCTGCTGCTGCCAGGCCAACCAGGAAGAGGTCGCGCCCCAAATGCCATCGCAGGGGCGCCAGGATCCGTCCACCTCCCGCCAAACGGCCGCCTCGACGCCGGCGCTGATCCTCCCGTCCTGTAAGTTTGCCCTTACCCGGGAGAGCCCCAGCTCACGGCCATCCTGCGGGCTCACGTGCAGCCTCCATTGCCTGCTCCTTCTTCTTTCCACAGCCAAGGCTCCTACGAGCCCTTCCTTCCCCACCCCCTCCCTCGTCCCTTCCCAAGTCCTCTCATCTCTTCTTCACCAAGTCCTGAGGAAGAGGGCAGGGCAGGGACTGCCATCCTCGGAGCTGCTGTGCCGGGGCAGCGGGACGAGTCTGACAGAGGGACCTCACACATCTCAGGGGTGCAAGGATCCTGTAAGTTTACCCTTAGTCGGGAGGGACAGCACCAAATCAGGGCCATCCCATGGGCTCATGTGGAGCCTCCATTTCCCGACTGTCCTTCTCTTGACAGAATAAGACTCCCATGAGCCCATCCTTCACGTCTTCCTCCCTCATCCCTGCCCAAGGCAGGAGAAGAAGCCAAAGAAGGGACAGAGCTGCTGCTTCTGGGGGGAACCACACTTCAATTTGGACATGAAGAAGTGCTGAAATACAGCAAGAAGATCCAATCCAGATGCTTCACTTCCACTTCTCTTTCAACACGGGACCATCACCATCTTAAAATAACAATTGAAAATAATAAAAAAGTAAAAAGCACACAACTAAATAAACCATCTTCCATTTTTGAAAACACAACCACTGACTGTCTCTCTGCTTCAGGAAGCTTCGAGTTTGCACGCAGGTTCCCGCGCCCCCTCCTTGCCTCCCGCACACAGAACCCCGCAGCAGGACACGCTGCCCTCACTGCCAGCCCGAGGAACAGCCACCGCACTGCACACACACAGGCTGTCCCCTTGCCCTGCCTCAGCACCCTCTGCTATGTGGCAGGGATCTTTCACACACACATCTTCAAGAACATAGAATCAGCCCCTTCTGACTGTACAAAAGGTAATTCTACACAATCTCAAAACTCACAGCATTTCACTTCCTCTCACCAGTTACCTGGTTAGTGAATGCAGGTGCTTGAACTGTAACCAAGAATAAGCACTCATCAGGACAGACACATTAGTAAAGAAAACATCTCGTTTCAAGTTCATGACATGTTACTGTACACTGCCAAACTTGCTATCAAAATAGTGTAGACCTAAATTATAATATTAAGTCATCGGCCCACACACTGAAGTAGGAGGCATTACTTTCTGAGTAGCCCATAGTAGCACATATATACTAATGTCTAACAGGGTTCAACAAACACAAGATCAGATGTTTAAAGGGAAAATGACAACTAACTTTTAAGCCCATTTCACTCTGCACTACTTTTGCCTACCATTTCATGCACAGCACACTGACTGTTCCTGGAAGAAAAAACAAAAGCACAGAGCTATCATCTTCCTTCAGTCTGTTGCAAGACAAACAAGGCACCATGAACAGTTCTTGTCACTGAAGGGTCAAGAAAAAAAGAAGACCAACACTACAACATTGAGGGGAATGATTGAAAAGCTTTCCTTTTTTCAGGTTTTGATATTTTAGATCTCCAAAGTACGTGCAGCTGCCAAAGGGGATGAGTCCTTTTACTGAAAAACGTAAAGAGTATGGTTGTTGTTTTCTAAACTAGGAGAGTTTCATTCCAGATCTCTCTAGAATATGGCTGTTACAGTGGCAGCCTTCTCATCACATGGAATACTACCTTTACATAAATATATGTTGCAGTATATATTAACAACACAAAAATATAACAGATGTTGAGAGTACGTAGGTAGAACTTTGGTATGGAAACGGCCTGGATCTCCACAGAGCTCTCAGACCTGGAATTCTCTAGTGCACAGTTACTGAACACCAACAAAATCACATCCCTGAACGACATTCAAATGGAAGGGGGAATTTTCAACAGCTTTTACAGGTAAGAAAATATTGCAGTGGGACTTTTAAAAGCACGACTTTTGCTTACAAGCTAATTTATAGAGATACATTTAGAGATAAATACCCATGGCCAAGACATTAAAAAAAATAGGTTCCTCCAAATAAGTTTCTGCATTCACATTTAGGAACCTATTTAAATGCTCTGCACTGCAGCTCATACAACAGACTTCAGTCCTGCGCTGGTGTAACATCAAATAAACTCAGATGCAGGTCTGCATTTAGCAGCCTCATTTTAGGGTCCTGGAATTAAAAACAGAAAAGGTGCAATCATCAAACAACAGTGCTGGCTGAAACTGCTTCATTTAGTAATTCTCTCAATTAATTGAGTATTCTTCTCCTGATACATTCTCTTAAAAAGAAAAATCACAGACTAATTCTTGCTCATAGATTGAGCAAGGATCAGCAACATTCAACATAAAAATTAACAGAAAAAAAGATGCTCTGAATTTCAAGTAGCAATGAGCAATCGCCAAAAGGTTCAAACTTACTGCTTTCCAAACATCATTTGCTTCTGCTTGGATTGCAAAAAACATCAAGAACAAACAAAACAAGATCAAAGGCAGAGTCCACACTGCAGCAAAACTGGAAATAGCAACAGAAATCTCAGAAGAAACAGAAGTCAAACAATAAAAAGCAACAAGCAGGTAACTTGGAACATGTTTACAATTAAGGCTTTTTTGTGCATCAGCACAAACACCTTATTGCTGTTCCCCCCCCCGCCCCCCAGTAAAGTGAAAGAAATAAGCCTGGATTCAGAACAGCTCACATCAGGTGTGTCAAAAATCCAGAGGAGAAAACAAATGAAAACTGTTTTGATGACATTGCCATCAGGAGTCTTACAGCTATAAGCATTTCGCTTTGTTCATTTTTATACCTGAAGTTAATGCTGTTGTCTCCATTGGAGAAAATACTCCAATCACCTCCCTTCCCTCCTCCCTACCCCAGTGCACTGGGATCTCTGAGGGCACACAGCACGGCCAGCTTGCTCTGGACACTTTAACAGCGAATTAGAACAGCAGCGGTGTTCTCATCAAGTCAGAGGGTGTCAGTGTGTGAGCAGGGAGACGTGAAGTGAGAAAGCACCTGGTAGCACCAAGGCTGAGGCTGTTAAATTAGGGGAAAAAAAGGCTGGGGTAGAAGGAGCCACTGGGCTTAGAGAAGCCTGTTACAGAACCTCGGAAGGAAGGCTCTCTCTCTGCAGCATTCCGATACAAACTGGTTTGGCAGCCCAAATGCTCTTCAGATCATGCAAGCCAGCATCACAGAGGAGCCAGCCTGAACAAAAGCAGCGGGGAGCACATGGATTTCATTGCAGTTCTGAAAGAAAGCAGCGCTGGTGACTCACACAGTCTCTTTTCCTTTTGAGCGACTGCTGTAAAGAATAACTATCAGGTCAGCAGCCATAGGTACAGGGCTACTGATGAAAGCAACGAGTGCTATCAGTGCCCCAAAGCCTCACCAGCCCCCATCTGTGCTGCTGAGGTTACAGAATGAGCTGGGAACCTGCACTGCAGCTGGGTAGCACGTGCTGGGCAATGCAGCAGGCAGAGGGTTAAATGCAAAGGGGAAGATGCACAGAAATTGAAATCCTTCCTTTCAGGAGGCTCACACACACCCTCCAGAAGCCTTCAGACTCTGCAGCCACACATCAAATGGTCACCTTCGTTTTTCATTCAGAGATGACAGACAATTAATGGATGTTTAAAGCAGCAGCTTCAAAATCCTAGGTTTTTTTTGTTTTTTTTTTTTTTAATGTCTGAACAGTTTCAGGGCCACTTTTTAATGGCTGCATCTAATGGGGGTGGGAAGGTACATCAAAAACAGTACGCTTTGAGACACTGAAGTCTGTGCAGTTCCCAGCATTTTGCTGTTTATTTTCATTGTGAGAAACTAATTTGTGCACCCCGCTCCACCGTGTACATTCAGAATCATGTTCTTGAATACTATACATTGAAGAGAACAGATTCATCTTTAACATTCTTTACTCACTGCTGGCTCACCTGACACCCTTCCGAGATTGAAGTGTGCAAAGTAGCTGGAGTTGGGCCTAACCCTGCCCTGCAGAACAATATGACACCTCTCACACACTGCTGGAAATTGCTCAAACTGGGGAGAATCTGACCACATCCAAGAATTAACAGGACCCATTTCTTGCATACAGAATACAAATCACAATGCAAATTGGCCTGAATTGATTTTCAAGGCATTGCAAGTGAGAAAAGGAGTAAAATTCATATATTAAGAGAGACTAACTGCTCTCTTTCACGAAGCACAAACTCATGTAAGTGCCTGAGGAGGACTGAATGGGACAAGGCTTCCCACGGCGCAGGAATGATTGAGGAATACAAGTCACCCTGTGCTTTTCAGAGTGCCAAAATTCAGCTTTCAGATGAGTGCAGCATCAGCCAAGCCTGTGGCACAAGGACTGCAGACCCAGTAGTGCTGGACTGGCTTTGAACTGGATACTTAGACATGCTCTGGGGACCATGCCATGGCAGCCATTTCTGTGGATGCTTTCATTATTTTTTTGCAGGTGATGACCGACCACAGGCAGCTTTTAGTGATTTGTGTTTCGTTTTTTTGCAGTAGGATAACTGAGAGTCCATTTCTTGCCATCAGCAAGCTGGGTTCAGCTACTTGCAGCAAATGCTATTCAGATCTCAACATCCCAAACTACTTTTCCACATTCTCTGGGAATGGGAAAGAAGTTCCCCTCTGATTCCAAAAACCAAAAATCCAGCTTGTTACTTTTTTGTAGGAAGCTACACACATATGCAAGTTTCTTTTCAAATGCACTTATTCTAGACTAGAAAGAATATCTGCGGCCAAGCGTAGAATAGGATTTATGGACCTAAAGCAAGATTTAGGTGAAAAACAGATACATTCCATCAAAACTGCACTTCTGAATAAACAAAGGGTGCCCTGACTACACTATCGTATGACATAACAGCCTTGACACCTCTGGTTAAACACAGGGCCTCTTCCTTGACTACACTACAGTATAACATAGCAGAACAGGCTTGCATTTTACACAAAGCAGTATTTACGATAAAACAGTGGGTGCCTCCTCCCTTTGTTCTATTTGACTGCATGGGTCTTCTCATTCCAAGCACCTCCCTACAAAAAAAAGAGTTGAAAGGAAGGAACTGGAGAACACCATTCTCAGAAGCATGTGTAGCTTTCAGCTTTCTCAGACAAAGAAGGAAACCAAATGAAAACACCACACAAAATAGTCAAATTTCAAGCACAGGCAGCAACAGCCAGCCATCTACCCCACATCTATCATGTTTAAAGAAAAAAAAAAAAAAGCAGAGAAGTGCCTTCCTATTTCTTGCTCTAAAGCAGCTCTTCATCCAGCACATCAGTTTTATTTGGGAGATGACTAACTCAGGTCCCCTTCTGACACACTTCAAAATGAGTCAATACAGATATTACTGATTTGTTGCATCCTTTCTGCAACCTCTATAAGCAATAACCCTTAACATCCTAATTTCACTCCACATTTTCTATCCTTCTATTTCCAGTCCCCTCAGAGCGGGAGGAAGCTCCCACATTCCTGTATTTCTCTGAAAGGTCAACTGCAAGTTAAAGCATAGCTGCAATCCCATTGCACCACAGGGGGGAAAACACCAAGAACAAATGAAAATAAGAGCTGGGAATAAGTGGAAATCCCTTAATCTAGTTTACCTTGTTTCATCTTTTCTCCTGATGCCTACAAAGAAAGCGATCACCTCAGGAAGAGGGGAAAATAATAGCTCAATAATCCCAGTTTATTCCTGGGACAGAGAATGAGTCCCTAAGCTGTATCTTGTCATTTGGGTACCATTAGACCACAGCCAGCCAACCTGTGACT